TCAAAGAGACTGCAGCTCCCCCACTGCCACCTCGGGACCCTGAGCTCCCATGACTGAAGTGAGACTCTGACCCCATGTGGAGAGGGTAGCAGCCCAGCTGAGTCCAGCCTTATAGCTGTCTTCACCAAAGTGCCAGGAAAGGTGGGGGAAGCCGTCTTAGACCTCTCAACCTGGACTCTAGCAATCATTCCATCCTAGCAATCGCTTGATAACACGCTGTCTTTCATTTATTTGCATATGTCTGATGCCACATCTCACTCCTCCACGAGATGGTAAATTCCACCAAGGCAGGAATCAAGTCTGTCTTGTTTGCCATTGGAAGCCAGGACTGGGTATTGGTAGGTACTCAGTAAATACTGGCTGAATAAGCAAATCAACAAGTGCAGAGTACCGTGGACACACAGGAGGGCACCAGGGTAGACTCATGGAAGCTTTGCAGAGGAAGTGATACCTAAACGCTAGGCCTGAAGACCAAGCAGATGTCAGGGTTCAAAGAGCAGGGCCACAGGGACTGGGCGTCACCCCAACCACATCACCTATGGACAGTGCCCAGGCTGTGTACTCATGAGAGAGAAAGAGGAGGGATTGTGTGTCTTCAGCAAGAAGCACGGTCTAGGAAAACAAGAGATGCTTTATATACACCCACGTGACTTCTTGGAGAGAGAAGCCTGAGCTGAAAGTCAGGAGCCCTGGGTGTTCTCACTTAGAAGCTCACGGTGTATCCTTTGTAACATCCCCCTTAGCTTGCCTGGTGCTCAGATGGTTTGAGATAAAACCAATGACTCCCTCACTACATCCCTGGGTTATCATGAGGATTATAAGAGAGCAAAGAAGTCAGAGTGCTTTGAGAAAGGTGTGTTAGAACAGAAATCTGTGATGGTGGAAGAAGACACACATGATGGCATTGTTTTCTGAAAGTTCAACCTGCCGCAGGTGAACCCTCAGGACCATAGGCTGAGCTTTCCTTGAACGGGATTGCCACATGGAACTCAGCCTGGGTGAGTCGAGCCCAGACTCCTCTTGGGCACTCCCTGGGGAGCTGGAAATTTTTCAACTGCCCAGGCGGAGAGAAGCAGCTAAGGCCTTAGAAAGAGAACCCATGGAGCAAAGTAGGAGCACTAGACTTGGTGTCAAGAGACATGAGTTCCTTTTATGGACTGAGTGTCTGTATTCCCCCAGAAGTCATATGTTGAACTCTATCCTCAATGCGATGGTGTTAGGAGGTAGGGCCTTTAGCAGATAATAAGGATTAGCCCTCATGATGGGATCAGTGCCCTCAAAAGACTCTCTAGTGCTTGCTTCCTCTCTCTGTCCTCCACTCCATGAGGACACAAGAAGGATCAGCACCCACAAGCCACAGGAGGGAGCTCACCAGAGCCTCGCGAAGCCACCACTGGCGCCCTGATCTCCAGCTTCCGGCCTCCAAAACTGGGAGAGATCCATTGCTGTTTACAAGTCACCCAGTCCAGAGTGCTCTGTTACAGGAGCCCAAATGGACTGTGCAGTGGGAATAACATGACCAGACCTGGGCCTGGGCACTGCCCGCCTCACCCTGAGAGGCTACCTGGCAGGTAGGTGGACCTTCTTAATAAAAGACCTACCAGATGCAGAGTACATCATGAGAAACGCTGGGCTGGAAGAGGCACAAGCTGGAATCAAGATTGTCGGGAGAAATATCAATCACCTCAGATATGCAGATGACACCACCCTTATGGTAGAAAGCGAAAAGGAACTAAAGAGCCTCTTGATGAAAGTGAAAGAGGAGAATGAAAAAGTTGGCTTAAAGCTCAACATTCAGAAAATTAAGATCATGGCACCTGGTCCCATCACTTATTGGGAAATAGATGGGGAGACAGTGGAAACAGTGGCTGACTTTATTTTGGGGGGCTCCAAAATCACTGCAGATGGTGACTGCAGCCATAAAATTAAAAGACACTTACTCCTTGGAAGGAAAGTTATGACCAACCTAGACAGCATATTAAAAAGCAGAGACATTACTTTGCCAACAAAGGTCCGTCTAGTCAGGGCTATGGTTTTTCCAGTGGTCATGTATGGGTGTGAGAGTTGGACTGTGAAAACTGAGTGCCAAAGAATTGATGCTTTTGAACTGTGGTGTTGGAGAAGACTCTTGAGAGTCCCTTGGACTGCAAGGAGATCCAGCCAGTCCATCCTAAAAGAGATCAGTCCTGGGTATTCATTGGAAGGACTGATGCTGAAGCTGAAACTCCAATCCTCTGGCCACCTCATGAGAAGAGTTGACTCACTGGAAAAGACCCTGATGCTAGGAGGGATTGGGGGCAGGAGGAGAAGGGGACGACAGAGGATGAGATGGCTGGATGGCATCACCGACTTGATTAGACATGAGTCTGAGTAAACTCCAGGAGTTGGTGATAGACAGGGAGGCCTGGCATGCTGCGATTCATGGGGTCGCAGAGCCGGACACGACTGAGCGACTGAACCAAACTGAATTGAACCAGATGGCAGGACAAGGCTTCTCTGGACAGCCAGGATGAGGGACCCAGAGCACAGCCCAGATCTTGTGCACTGAGCTCCAAAGAAGAGGCAGCCAGAGGTCAGGCTGGTTGGCCCTGGGGTCAGAGGGCAAATCCAGGCATCCCCTGGAGACTCTTGCTTCCAAAAGCCATGGTGGGTTGCGGGGAGGCCCTGCTGACACATCGGCCTGGTGCCGAGGGCCCACAGCAGCTGCACTGGCCTGGCCACACCCTAATTAGACTTTCATGGTGTGTCCAGCAGCCTGCTGGGTCCGACTGCCAGCTGGGGCTCCCATTCTGTCTGGTGGCCTCAGTTAATGAAGCCATGAGGGGCTGACTGAGCTCATTACAGGCCATGTGAAGGAACAGGGTGCCCCTGCACATGCTCCCCCAGTGCCTCCCGCCCCCGTGTCCACACTGAGAACAGGAAGAGGGAGCTGAATCCAAATCAAGAGGAAGGAGAGGGGCGGAAGCTGAGCTCCAGCCCAACCACGCAGCCTGAATGGCTCCCGTGACAGCCCAGCCAGAGATGTGGGTTTCTGTACGCGTCTGAGTCTGTGGTTTTAGCAGAGTGTTCAGAGTCCATGGCTGCTCTCAGACCACACCCAGGCCTTTCTCATCTCAGGCCAAGGAGGAAGAATGAGAGTGAAGGTTCAAATTTGTCACTTCCCAATAACTGGCCCACAGACATGTTTGTACAAGCCTTTCTGTCATCTTTAAGAAGGGATACTGATCTGACCCAAAGCAAGTGCTCAGTTAATGTGTTCAATACATCATTACTGTTGTTGTTACTAAAAGACAGTCATGAAAAGAAACCAAAACCTGAGCTTCTGAATGGCAGGTGAGTGATTTTTTTCTTCTACTTCTCTGCATTTGTAACAAAAAGTGTTTTAGTTTTATTTTTTAAAAAAGTACATGCTTTCTCCAAAATATCAGAAAAATGAGATTATGTATGAAAGGGCCCAGACAGTGCCTGGGAGTAAGTTATTAACAGAAGTATCCTCCTGCAGTGAAAGTTTGGAGAGATGTGATTGGGTGGGAAAATATGCATGGTATTTGCAAATGTGTAATGAATTTCTGCCCTTTAATAAGGCAATTTCTTCTCCCCAAATGTCAAGGGAAGAAGGCACAGAAGTTGAGTGCTCAAAATGCTGAGGCACCCAGGTAAGGAGATGTTGAGGGGAGTTTGAAGGAAGAGCGCTCCCTGGCCGGAGTAGAATGCAAAACACAGAGAGAGAAAGGTGGACGCAACTAAACAAAGTGTAGTCTATTCGCACAACAGCATTATCACTCACTCTTAAAAAGGAAGGACACTCTGACACATGTGACAACTTGGGTGAGCCTTGAGGACATTATGCAAAGTGGAATAAGCCACAGTCACAAAAGGACAAATACTGTATGCTTCACATATCTGAGGTCCCTAGAGCAGTCAGATTCATAGAGACAGAGAGTAGAAGGGTGAGTTCCAGGATGGGGGTGGGAAAGGGAAATGGGGCACTGTTCACAGCGTGCAGTTTCACATTACTAAGATGAGTTCTGGGGAAGGGTGCGGGTGATGATTACACAACAGCATGGATGGACTTGATGACACACACTTGTACATTTTAAAATATTTAAGGTGGTAAACTTTATGTATGTGTAGTTGACCACAATTTAAACCTGTGTAAAGAGGAAAAAAGAGACTGAACCCAGAGGAAAGAGGAACGGAACAGACAGGATGGAGCAAGTCTCTGGTCTCCCGGGGTTGAGGGCCATTCACTGGAGAGATGACTCACAGAGGAGGGGGACCTCCAGGGAACATGACCGAGGGGGAAACAGATGGAGGGGGACGCAACCTGGTAAGGTCATGGCTTCTATCTGCACTTGGCCGCTGGCCCCTCAGGGTCCTGAGCTAGGGGGCATTTACAGCTTGAGGACTCAGCCAGGGATGTGCCCAAGAGGATCAAGCCTCCTTCTCTCCTCAAAATCCGAGCTTGGAGTATGAGAAATTAGGACCTGGAGGGTGTGTGTATATAAATAAGCAACTAAGCCTGGCACCATCCTCCAGGGGAGGAAGGAAGAGGAATATTTTGAGCATCTATTCCAAAGAGAAGCAATTCCAAGGCCACTGTGCTGAAGGAATGCAGACATGGGCTGGCTGACCCCCAGATAAAAGAGAACTGGGTATAGTCAGGATGTCCTGAAAGGCGATGGGCTGGCACCTGGGCCCGGATGGTGGCAGAGCCTGGTGCTTGGTGGCATAATAACAACAGAACCATTTATTGAGCACTTCCTGTCTGTGACAAGTGCTGCTCTTGGTCCATCGTGTATTCCTTTCAGCATCTTTATGGGTAGCAACTATTTCTACCCTCACTTTACACCAAGGAAGACTGAGGGCTGGAGATGAAAGTCACCTGCAGACACTGGGCCTTAAAAGCCCACCATCTGCCCCTAGGGAATCCTGGTTTCCTTGCTGCTTCACCTCCCAACATTGCCTCCCACAACCCCAGACCCTGAGCCCCTTCTCACTTGAACTGGTGCTCCCGGGAGCTGCGGATCTTGGAGGAGAAGCGCTCAGCCAGCTTCTCCAGGCTGCGGGAATACTCGAGCTCGATCTCGGCTTTCCGGCGGAAAAACTCCTGGAGGTCCTGGAGCAGCTGCAGCCTCGACTCCGACTGCTGCTCCAAGCACTTGAACTGCTCCACCAGCTGCGTGCGGATCTCTGTAGGCAGAGGCAGGAGCAGGCTATGAGGTGGAGGGGACAGCAGGGCGATCTGCCCAGCCCACCCACCGCCAATGGCCCAGGCACTGCAATGCCAGCCGCCCCCTCCCCACCACCCGCCACCCAGAGCCTCTCCAGGCACTGGCAGGACGATTGAGCAAATGCCAGGTTTTCCCACAGTGTAACCCAATGTCTCCCAAAGTTGAATCACCGCATGTCACCACCACGATTTCTGCCATATCCACACATCACCTGCATTATTATTTTTTCCACATGATCTAGTAAATTCACTCACTTTTCTCACTGAAAACAACTTACTTAAAACATACAGTTTAATGTCATTATGGCAAGGGTAAAACTAGAACCACTTGCTGTCTTGGAACACAGAAATTTGATTCAACAAAAACAAAAATTTTGTTAAAATTCTCTCCAGAGACTATTGCTTACCAAAGGCCCGAATCCTAAGCTTCTGAGTCTCCATCAACAAGAGGAAAATTGGGAGCATGAGAGGAGTTAAAGACAGACTTCCTCCAGGTGTAGTCAGGACTGAGCGAGGGCAGAAGGGATGCCACTCACTCTCAGGTTTCAGGGTTATTTAAGGTTATTTAGGTTATTTATCTCTCAATCAACTTGAGATTCCATGCATCACCATCTCAGGTACCACCAGAGAATGTAGTCCAGGCTTCAGGAAATCCTGACAGAGCAAACCAGGTCTGTGCACCCAGGGCAAAAGTTCACAAGCAGGGGCCAGAGATAAAAATCACAGCCGGATCCCAGTGGTTTTGTCACTGCTGCCATCACCACACAGTAACCTCTTCCCCACCATCCCACAGGCTGCCCAGCAGATTAGTCTCTCCACACTGTGCTCACACCAGCTCCCTGCTCAAAACTCTCCAGGGCCCTCCTCTGACTGAGTATTAAGTCCAACTCCTTAGCACGGAATTCAAGGCCACCCACTATCTGACCCCAAACTTCTCTGTATCTCCCCCCAGTGAACTCACTATTCCTTCAAACTAGTCCCTGACATGTCCAATCCTATTGTAGAAACGGGCCTCCTGTCTGAAAAGGTGGCCAGTACATCTTAGCATCCTTTGGAAAAGTGGTCTTCAAAGCATGCAGCGCTACTCTGGGGCACTGGAAGCCTTGCCAGGGGGTGCACGGCAGGAACTGTTACAAAGGCATAGGTTTGAGATCCTACTTCCATTCCCACTCTTTCTTCCTTTGCCTGAGAATGTGCCTCAGCATCTCTCCTTTTCCATCTGCCTCTTCACAACCATCCTCTCTATTTGCAGAAGGCCATCTTCTCCCTTATTCAGAATCTGATTATGGTGCAATTTCTCAAAGAGTCAAGGTAGAGAACAGTTAAAAACGTTGGTGCTAGCAAAACTTCTTTAATCTAGGGACCATAAACCCCGGCTACACAAAGTGTGGTCCATAGACCAGCAGCATCAGCATCTTCCATAGGCTTATTAGAAACACAGCCCTTGGTCAGTCCTGACTATACCTGGAGAAAGTCTGTCTTTAACTGCCCTCCCACTCCCGTTTTCCTCTTATTGATACAGACAGAAGTCTTAGTCTTAGAAACAACACCCATAGACTTATTAGAAACCTTAGGTCCCAACCCAGACCTTCTGAATCACAATCTGCATTTTAACGAGATCCCTGGGTGGTCCTTGTGAACCTTAATGCCATCCTATCCATCTCATTCTGAGAAGCACCCATTCTGTCTTACTTTTTATTTTTAGTAATTATTTATCAAATTATGAAACAGTGATATTATTTTGATGAACTGCATGATAAATCAATACGAAATAAAGATACTTAGGGTTTTATGGTCAAAGCAAATTTTTTAATGTCCATTTCAATTTACATACATATTTTGGACAAAAAGAAAAATCAATAAAAAAGTTCAAGCATGAAAACATATTATGTAAAATTCTGTGAAGGAAGTAGAAGGGAATTATGAGTTCAAGAAGGTAAAGATAGGAACAATATAACTATAAATTTTCTGACTTGTACAGGTAATTTTTGATGAGTGGTGGTGGATACAAATGTTTTGTGGTATTTATCTTCAGTTCAGTTCAGTTCAGTTCAGCCGCTCAGTCGTGTCGGACTCTTTGCAACCCCATGAATCGCAGCACACCAGGCCTCCCTGTCCATCACCAACTCCCGGAGTTTACTCAAACCCATGTCCATCGAGTTGGTGATGCCATCCAGCCATCTCATCCTCTGTCTTCCCCTTCTCCTCCTGCCCCCAATCCATCCCAGCATCAGTGTCTTTTCCAATGAGTCAACTCTTCGCATGAGGTGGCCAATTACCACCATGCAATTCCACCCATAGATCATATCCAGAAGAAATCAGTGTTCATGTCTACACTCAAAATATGGAAAATATTCACAGAAGCTTATAGAGCTAAATATTATAAACAACCCAAAATGTCCATTAAGAGTACATAAGATTTTTTTTCAAAGGGACAATTTATTTCAAAATGCTTGTCAGTCTTAAAATATTAATGGTAAAGTGAATTTATGCAAGGAGTAGATAAGATTTTTTAAATGTGAGATGTTCATTCAATGGAATACCATATGATAAGGGAAAAAATGATCTACTGCTACCATGTTGATGGAAAGTAGCAAGGAAAAAAATAAGATCATGCAAAAAATAACTTATGGTGACTGAGTTCAGAGAAATGATCACCTTTGGGGGTAATGACTGAGAGAGGGTGCAAGGTTGCATTCTGGAATACTGGAGATAGACCATTACACCTTGATCTGGTAAAAATTAACTGAGCTGCACACTAAGATCTGAGCATTCTACTGTACATAAGTGATACATCAATAAAAAGGCAAACTAAAAATTGCTGTTATTTAGTTTGCATTTGATACAGTTAAGAGGGTAGAGTAATTTTATTCTACAAGGTCAATATTTACAATATGGCAGAAATGATATCCTTTGTAACTGTTTAAATTTCCGGTGAACATTTCAGATGTCAAGTTAAAATGTGTGAGGCAAAAGAGACTTTTTTTTTCCCCAAAGTTCATGTAGAGGGTAGGCAAGCAAAACAGTTTTAAAACCAGTGTTTTAGAGGCCAAGCACTGCTCCTCCCAGGAAGTCCCGGCTCGCTCAGCCCTCATGACCCCACTCTGAACTCCTATGGTACATGCAATTAGTCTCAGAGCGCCTTGTGCTGTTTTCTTTTAATTCTTTCATGGACGCATGTCATATTAGCTCCTCAAAAGAAATTTAAGATCTGACAGTGGATTCTCCTAGCACAAATACCAATATCTGTATAGCAAATCCCTATTTACCTTTACCAAAGTGCTTTTACCCAAGGACATCAAATGTTGTGATTATGGGAATCTTGCCCAACACACATACACATACACACAAACATACACACCACACACACCCACATACAACACACACATCACATTCACATGCCACATTACTTCACATTCACACACATCACACACACGTCGTATCTATATACTACAAAAACTCACATACTGCACAAATACCACACATACCACACAATCACCACAACCACCACACACTTTCATACAAACATACCACATACCCACACCACTAACACACCACATCCCAAACACACCCCACACACATTCACACATGCTATGCATATACTATACCCATACCAGACATGGATGTTATTATTATCATCCATTTTTACAGGTGAAGAAACCAAGACTCTGTGTAAACTCATCAGGAACGTGTCCAAGGTCACATTTTGCTCTATTGACTGTAACAATCTACACAGGCCCTCCTTGATATGGCTCACTTGTTAAACTGGACTGAGATGCCGTCAGTCCCACAAGTGCAAGCCCTGCCATATTAATACGTAGTTATAAAAATGTTTTCTAAATATTTAAAAAATTACTTTTAGACCATCTACTATGTGGGACTCAAAATAACCTTAATAATAATTATGAGTACTTACAGAGCACACCATGTGTTCCATGCCTGATGTTGAGTTCTCTGGATATTTATCTCACATAATCTGTATAATATCCCCTCTAAAGTGGGTGCTACTAGTATTCCCCCACCTTTTCTCCACAGATGAGGAAGTGGAGGTGCAGGAATAAGTAGCCTCTGGTCATAACAGCTGGTGTGTGGCAATTAAGCTAGGAATCAAGCCTAGGTCCTCAGTTTGAGAGCAATGACCCTCTAGACACCTCACTAAAATGAGGCCATATTATTTTCTTTCAAGACTTTAATCCATCTGTATTCAATTTCTTGTATCCTTTTTGTAACAAGATGGTGGGCTAAAGAGATAGTATTTATCAAGAATGCTGCAGCCACTCCTTTCCTCCATTACAGGGCATTATCAGCAGCCAATGTTCTCCTATTTTAGAGGGAAATCTCATAAATCACACTGCGCTGTCAGGAGACGACTTGGAAGCAGCGGAGAAACCTCCCTCAGTCTCCCTCAGTTCACACAACCAGCTGGAGCAATTGGACAGCTCAGAGTCAAGCCCCTCTCACAGGAGACGCCCTGGCAGGAGCCAGACTGCTGCCTGCCTGCCCGCGCTGCGGCACCTGCTGGGATCTGATTACCCATCTCCTTATCTCTACCTCCCTTCCAAGTTGCTCCTCCTCAGAGCCAGCACAGATTTGGCTTTCTCGGGTCGGAGATTTCAAAGAGAGAGAAAAATAAATAAATAAAACAACTGTTTGCAAGGCATAGACTTCATTCAGAAGACGGTCCCCCAGGAATGGTTCCAATCTCGGCACAGCACTGAGGAGCGGAAAAATAAGAGGGGGTTGGGCAGGGAGGAGAAGGGGCTTAGAGAGCTGGGAAAGGCTTTGATATCAGAACAGTAGAGCTGCAGGTAACCGCCCTGACTCCTGGCACAGCCTCCGGGTTTTACGGAGGCGTGAGGCCCAGAGAAGTTCTCCTGAAGCACAGCTCTCTCCCTGTGTCACTCTCCATGGAGCAATAGGAGAGAACAAATCTGACTCCATACTGCATCTGTTTCTTTTA